TCCTGCGCTGACGGCTATCAGGGGCCGCTCTGTGAAATTTGTAGTGATGGCTACTATAAACAGTTTCAAACGTGCAAAAAGTGTCCAACGAAGAAATGGATGATCGGACAACTGTCCATCGTGGTGGCAGTTATCCTGGTCATTATTTTTTTCATCCTATGGTCAAAAAAAAGGAAGCAACAGGAGGAGCAAAAAGGAAGATCCACAGTGGATATCATACTTGGTAGGCTGAAAATTGTCATTGGCTTTTACCAAGTCACTGATGGACTGTTACAGACATTTTCGTATATCAAATGGCCAGATTCTCTTTCTGTAATTGGAAAATATTCCGAGATGATACAGCTTAATGTTTTCCAGATTGCGCCTCTTCACTGCATCTTTCCTGAATTAAAGGTCAATGCTTTTAAGAACTTGTTTGCAATCCTTGCAATAAATGTCACAGCCATCATTCTTGCGATTATCATTTATTGTTTACGAAAGCTTCTACTCGAACGGAGTGCTTCCTCCAAAGAAGAAAAGTTAAGGAAATCTTCTCAAACGAAAGAGCTGATCTTGAGAAACCTGTTTTTCTTCCTGTACGTGACATATCTCAGTACCTGCTCCAATACAGCTAGTGTGCTTCCTCCAACTTGCCGTATGCTTTGTTCAGACGAAAAGAAAACCCGTTGTCAAAAGTTTCTGAAAACTGATTACAGTATCGACTGTGAGAGTACAAACTACAGTCGATCAGTCATCGTTGCCTACATTGCAGTTGTTTACATACTACTTCTTCCCACAGCATCACTTATAGCTCTCTGGAAAGCGCGATTGACCGTTACAAGTCAGAATGAAATGGAAGACGAGCATCAAAATCCTGATATCAAAGTGAAAAGCAGCGAAGTCACCACAGGCTTGCGATTCCTTTTCGAAAACTACCATCCGCGATCGTGGTACTGGGAGCTGGTCGACACAGTACGAAAGGTGGTCCTCACGTCAGGTATCGTCTTAGTTGGTGGTGAAAGCAGGGCATATGTCGGACTGGCTTGTGTCATGTCAGGACTCTATGGAATGTTTTTTGCCTATGTTAGCCCTATAGCGGACCCATTCGAGAACAGACTAATGCTGATATCTCTTGCTGTGACCTTTTTAAACTTGGGAATAGGAGCTGTGAGTAAAATTAACAGCGAGAACATTCCAGCCTCAATCGATCCATATGTGGATAACATCATGTTCAAGGTACTGGTGTTTGGAGCAAATTCTTTGGTAATCGGCCTTCTCGTAGGTAAGTTAAGTGTAAATCCACTTCGGTTATTAATTTACCCTTCAATAGTATAATATTCATGCCTGGGTATTGTTACTAATGACATTATAGTAAGGTATGGGGAATCAATCTTACCTGGGACAAGCCCAAGATAAACTGAATTGAATATAGGTAATCTGGAACCCGACTTACTCACTGGCGTGGGCGCGTAGCTCGCCAATCACCCTTCGTGTCGGCAAAGTGAAGTGAATGGGACAAAATGTACCAGTATTTCCTATTATATATACTCATTTGCATATCATTAATTAATCCTCGGGGATGATATTTACAATTCAAATGGAACGTGGACAGGAAGGCTAAGCAACCACGACGACGAAAACAACGACGTCAAAAAACGTTGCCTACATTTGACAGATTGAGGTGGTCCAAATAGACGTGATAAAGTTTGAAAGGACGCGAATCAATTTTTTAGCAACGTCGTCACTGAAGTTGTCGTCGACTAGTCGTCGTTGCTTAAGCTCCCCAATCACATGTAGGGCGATGTCAGCTCCTTGCTTGCTTTTGGTTTTCGGCCAAAAAATTTAGTTCACGATGTAAATCGGTTAAGCTTCAATTGCCATTCTAACTGTAATCGTATTACTGTAATGCCTTAATTGAGGTAGCAATAGTATTTATGTCCAGATTTCAAGCAGCTGCAAAATTTAGGATTTTTCGCGTCCTTGCAAAAGATTGCAAAAATTGCACGGTTCACAATTAATCGCGTTCGTCGTAACCTACAGTGAGTGACCTTCATAAATAGTTATAATTATCAAATTTAGTAAGTCCATATGTATGCAAGTACCGTTATTATTCACTCAGTAAGTGATCTATAAGACTTGAACTTAAAGCAAAAATATTCATAGAGAAGAGTAAAGACAGTGCAATAGAGGACTCCGCCTTATAGCGGAGCTCCGGCGCGCGAAGCGCGCCAGCGGAGCACCATGGGTAATAAAATTTGGTGAACCATCCATCCGAGAAAATTTGGTTATGACGTAGCGTACGCCCGTACACTCTTTGCGGGGGCGGGAAGGGAATCAGGTGTCAGCCCGTCCGGGGGAGGAGTATGTTATAAATCGCGCGATGCATTTGTGCAACCCACCTGTTTCTTGGCGGGAAATCGCGTAAGAAATGACGTGGCTGTCGTCGCGTTCAAAAACATGTTTACTTCAACGGAACTACTTCATTGCATAAGGATTTTGTGTCCGGAGAGCTCAGTTTCTAGTGAACCGTTTCGAAGAAATTGTTATGGCAACAAACAATAGCGGATTGGATTCAAACTATTTGCTTGTAAGTGAAAAGCGACGGGAAAGAGAAGAAGAGAAAGGCATAGAGTAAGAATTAACAGGCGCGCTAGCAAAGAGGGTTCAAGTGGAAAATTTATGCAGCATCTGCGACTTGTTCACTGATAGCTGAAGCTGACAGAGTTTTGAGTCATCTTTTGATGTTTTTACCTGTCTTTTTCACTGGATCTACAAAATGAAACACAGCAGCTATCAACATTCTTTTGTTATTCTTGGCTGGCTTGTTTACTGGGTTGTGGTTGAGAATGCGCAGCACGACAAAAAGAAATCGGGAATCATCGTTTTCAAAAATAAGCTACTCTTAGTAAGCTTACTTCGCCTTGCTGAACCATGCGAAAAATCTTAAGCGATTCTGGCCTTACTTGATGGGTTTCCGTGCTGCATCTCGACCGGTAAGCTTGAGTAATTTTATTGCATTTTACGTGTTTTCTTTTTTCATGTTTACGCCGTCATTTTACGCACATTTGTAAGGTTTGGAACAATTTATCTGACCTAGTAAAGAACTTAAAAAGTCTTTAGACATTTTCTGACCGCGACTAGAAGAAAAACTTCTGAAAAATAGTTTAGTTGTCCTATTGTTTGTAAAAAGAAAACTTTGAGCGACATTCTTGCCTGGAGTTCATCTTGCAAAATAGCAAACACGGCGAAGGCGGCTTAAAACTTAAGGCTTAATTTAAATCTATTCGTCACTCAGCTTTACTCTCAAAACACGTCTTCGGGAACAAAAATTGTTGACCTTCAAATGTTTCTTCGTATTATATTTCTTGTCTTGATTGTTTGTCAAGATCTCGTTCTTACATGATCGCTTTGCCAGTTGTTGTTTTCAATCGTCCGTGAACGTGTTGATCACGCTCTACGCCCAATTTTTGTTCTGATTGGTCAAAATTTGACCGGCGATTTTATGCGGAAAATTTATGCAGCATCTTGAAACTTGTTTACTGTGACAGCTGAAGCTGACAGAGTTTTGTGTCACCTTGTGATGTTTTTAACTGTCTTTTTCTACTGGATGTACGAAATGAAATTCAGCTACTATCAAGAGTCTTCTGTTATTCATGGCTAGTTTGTCTATTGGGTTTTTTGGTTGAGAAATACGTCGCCTGTGAAAGTCGGAAATCCGATTTCGGATGGCATCAATTCGTTTTCGTTTTTCACCTTGCTTGATTGAAAAGTCTGAAGCGATGTAGCTTCCAGGAGCTGCCTGAGTAATTATTGTATTTGTGTTTGTTTTTTCATATATCTTATTTCATGAAGCCGAGCGCAGTTTATGAGGCTATAGTTTATGCATGTTTGAATTAAGATTTGAGATAATGACCTGACCTATAGTATGAGGTTTGATTTAAGCTTGCAGAACTTTAAAAAGTCTTTAGTCGATATTTTTTCACCGCAAATAGAACGAAAAAAACGTTGCGTTTTTATTTTGGCTGTAGAAAGAAAGCTTTGAGCCATTTTTTTAGCCTCCAGTAAAAAAAACATAAACTTAGGCTTTAAGCATAAAGACTCAGGATTCTTAGAGACACTTTAATACTTAATTGTCTTCGTGAATGAAAATTGTTGTCTCTGTAAATGTTTCACCGAATTATATTTCTTTTATTGATTGTTAGTAGTGTCTCTTGCAATTTGCCGTTAATGTTTTCAGTCGTCGCTTGCAGGAGTACTCAAAACGTTGCACGTATTAAACGCTTGTTAAGTTTACACATCGTTATAAAACCACTAAATAAAAAAAACCACAATAAATTCTTTATTATGTTGAAGTGTAACTCTATTAATGTTCATTCAAACACTCCACAGTTTGCAACTGGCTGGCCGTTATATAGGTGATTTTGGAAATTTTTGGCGGTTTCGCTAAAAACCCACGCGTGCTTCGATAGTCCTGAATATTGAGTGAGTGCAATTTATATTTCAAAACTGTGAAATACTGCATTCTGTCTGAGGTCTGTATGATAAAAACAGCGCCTCGTAGTAGTGTTTCACCTCAGACTGTCAGATGTGATGTATAAAAAGTATAAAAGGTTGGTTTACACGCCCCCAGATTTGTTAGCAAGATTTTGTAAAGCAAACTTGTCAAACGGAAAAAATTTTGCCGGATTTGCTTTCCAAGTATTTGTTTTCCAGGCCTAATCTACTGTGATCAAGAGCCATTATGGACGTTAAATGTGATCGAAGATGATTGCTATTTTTTGGGTGTACATATAAAGGCCGTCAACTCGATGTAAGGTTTGGTGCACGCTTGGACTGTTAGCAAATTATTTTTCTCTCAAATCACTTAGCCTTAATCCCTCAAAACAAAAGTCACATGATTGTGCTCTAAAGTGAACTGATTTGTGGAATACAAGTTTATTGTTTGATTGAAATTACAAATTTATTATTGGGAGCGTCGCTTTTAGCCCTGGCTAAATCTATATATTAAAACGCAAGTCAACGCGTATATGTTTTAAAAAGAGAGGTGACTTCAGTAAGTCCTATAGTGAATATTTGTAACTATGACTATTGTTTCTTTGCAGTTCAGTATATTGTATACATCTATCGCTTTATAAAAGAATGGCTCAAGAGTCCCAAATGGTCTTTCTCTTGCTGTCTGGCCTTGCTGCTACCTTTGAGTGACTTGCAAGGAGAAGTACGTGGATTTGCTGGAACGAATGTTTTTAAAAACCAACTACCAACAGGAAAAATGAATATGCCGTCAATTTTATCCTCTTTCCAAGATACTGGTGCTATTAACTTTAGTTTGGAAGAAGATCAACCCAATCTGGCAGGTGGAAGGAATTCTGATCATGAGGAGACACCTGGAAACAAGAGCGACAAACAAACCCAGACTCGAGAAAGCGGGAAAGAATTCATCTTTACCAAAATTTCAGTCCATGAAGTTCCAAAAATGACATACGATACGTCTTTTTAAAGAGCTTCATGCAGTTAATGTCGCCATTTTTCGCACTGTTCATGTCAATGACTAAACGCACAGTTTGGTGAAAGGTTTTCATGTGTTGGGACTGAATAGGCAGATTCATTGTGACGTCATTGTTTACATTTTTGCTTTTTAGCATACGAGTTAACCCATGGAAGATGTAGCCGTATATACCAATTAGGTTCAAAAATCAAAAGAGCTGCTTAATTTGTAGAATTTGTGCAAGTTTCAGCTCTTAACAATCAAAAACAAAGAAAATGGCAACAGTTAAAAACTGAGTGAGCTCGTGCATTCTTGGTTAATTTTCAGTGGGGTTTTTTAAAGAGACTTTCTCCCAAACTATCTAGTATATGGGGTTCAATTTTCAGAGATAACTGAAAATGCTTTGCTCTTTCACTATTAAGAAATTTCATGTTATTAGCTTCATCAGATAATGATGAGCCTTTGCTAATGAGGCCAAAATGTCAACAAGGATTCGCCTATACAGTAGAACCCAGGTAACTCGAACTCTGAGAAGGGAAACTAAAGACAGTTTGAGTTAGCGGGGGTTCGAGTTATCGGGATCGATTATATCTTCAATTCCCATGGTAATAGTGATAGTTTATCGATATTTCAGCACTTTAGTATATAGCAGAGGGCACATTTAACTTATCTTATCAGAAATTTTAACGCGATTATGCATCTTCACGATAATACCGGGAAATGACTGTCAAATACATGATGAGTTCGTTGCCCATCTTAAGAAGCAGTGAAAAACAAATTGCTGTAGTGTTAGTTTTAGGGGTTGTTCCTCAGTTTACAAGGCAAGGAAAAGCTAATAGGATGGCATTCGTGGTGAGTTCTATGAACCAGAATTCGAGTTATCGAAGGAAATTCGGATCAAGGGAAACGAAATTTCGTTCGGACTTAGTTCCAGTTATCCAATTTCTAGTTAAACTGGGGTCCTAATGTAGATTCAAATCAACGTAAGCCCCTTTGCTCGTGTTTTTGTCATGTTCTAGATGGCTTTGAGGCTATCGTCAATTCCATCAGCTATTTATCAGGAGTTTTATTTTTTATCTTATTATTAGTACAAAGCTGCTAATTTACTGGCCATATTTACTCAAGTTGAAATTTGAGGGGTTTAGAAAACAAAATAAAATAACTACAAAAAATTAAAAATGAAAACCACAAAAAAAATACAGACATATTTACTCATAAAACCATTAGCTACTTCAAGGCGATAGTCAAAGCAAACCGACCTTATCAATTCTAAAACAATAGATTGAATACGCGTTATTTATGTGACACCGTGAAGTCCAAGGGGACGATTAAGCTCACACGTTCGGAGGCCTTTTGCTGTCGTCTTTTCATCGTAGCTCAACTAACATTTAATTTAGTATTTATCTTAGCTTTTATTTCGGCTTTGCTCGCTTAATATAATATTTCGCTCGCTGTATTTATTTTTGAGGAAAGTGCTGACAAGAGAGAAAGAAAGTTATCCTAGAAACCAGATTTTGCGGTTAAGAACACCGTACCTTTTGTTGCGTAATTAGCTATGAATTACCGCAAAACAAACGAACATAAACGATTAAACTTTCTTGTCGGTTCTCCTCTCACAATCATATTTTAACCACATATATATCCTTTGTGTAGGAATATCTTATATAATCTATATATATAAAACTCGTTACTCGTACTTTTCAGATCGGATAAGAAATGTATTTACGTGATACCATTATTCTTTGTTAAGATCACATACGTGCATCTAATTGTTTAGTCTGCTACAGAACCGTTTTTTGTGTCGTCACGCAACGCTCCTTCCCACGTTGCGTGACGACGCTAAAAACGGCTTTGTAGCAGACTACTAATTGTGAGCAAACGGATAGCATGCTTTTGTCCACTTCCTGCTGCGCGCATTGCAGCCAAAAGATCGGAATTCCTAGTCAAAGAGTTTTGCACCAACCTTTTATTCTATTTTGGTGTTTGGGTTTCAAGTTATTTTAAAACCAGTAGTTGGACGGTCTGGTTTGATATTCGCTCAAATTTGGCTTGGAAGCTGACCTTGATAGTTAAGTTTCAGGAATCTGGTAGACGAAGAACAACTTTGTGGATGTGCTACCTCCAAAACATTATTTATATTGAAGCGAAATAAGTCGGCGCTCACCTGGGAAAAGGGAATCGCTGGACTCTTTGACAACCCGTGAAGTCAGTTTAACTCGAAGTTGTCGTAACCTCAGTGCTTTAATAAAATGAGAAATTACGCCAGTCTATTGAAACCGGTCGTTTGTACAATAAAGCAAGTAGGACCGCAAGTGTTATTGTTGTCGAATAATAAAAGACTAATAAAAGAATAAATATCAAACAATAAACCAAACTGTAAATTATAAATGATCGTGAGAGAATGTTTAGTTTAAGGATTTTCCTGCTGTACTGTTAGCTCTATACAAGAGAGGAAGGGCGATTCTTTTTTAATTTCCGTTGTTTTCGTCGACAAAACGAATAGCAATATCACTCTCCGCGTCTTCCGCCAGTTTGTTCTGCGTCAATTCGTGAAGGACGCGTGCTTCTGAGCGTGGGTCATCCACGCGGAACACATTCGCGCTATGTGATTGGCTTTTGTCTAATCCCCCTTGAGATCTGTGGTGTTAAAAATAACTCGAGACGAATTACCTGTGGAGTAGGGTGTGTATGGGGGATGCCTTCACTGTCCCCTTTAACCTCTCTTGTCCTGAATTTGAATAATCGGAAACGTTCGGCATAACAAACTTGTGTACCAAGGGGGGTGGGGAGCGCTAATTGATCTGTCAAGAATGAAATTTCAGTAGGGTACTAACGGGAATAGTCAATAGAGCTATAGAGAGCTATTCCTCTAGAAGAAGAATTTTCATATGAAGCAAAGACGTCCACATATTGTTAGTCTTTGAGGCAGTGAACCGAAAACTTGATCTTTTAGTTCCATCATTTCTTTTATTTTTTGCATTCTTTCTTGCCGTTACTGCGAAGGTCTTAGTCATAGTTAATTATTCAATAGGCCGAGAATGCGCTCTCAAACAACCAGCTTTCTCTTTGCGCTACAACGCCCTTTGAATAAAACAGTTGCGGTCTTGTTACTTTATATAAAAACGAACAGTTGCGCATCATACAGCACTTGCATGTACGATAGGTTAGCAACAAGTGGATGTGGTTTTTACTTACAGAGAGCAATTAATTTTATCAGTAAGTGTGGGAACGTTGAGCCTTGTTTTAAACTTCGCGGGTCAGTGAAAAGGAGGTGCGATTTCTTTTAATCTTTAGTTGTTTGAATTGTAATTGAGGAGGCCTAATTAACATAAGCTCTATAGTTTCTTTTAGGCCTCCTCGCCATCTCTTCCTACATTTTTTTTTTGGCATCTTTTTGTAATTATCGTAATCGTGTGGCAAATAAATAAAATACCTAAAATACCTAAATACCTAAAGTTTACTTACTCGTGTCATTGCCAACAGGAAGTCTGGTTTTTATAGAACGATTAGATTCGTATAACTCAGCCCGGAAAGATAAGCAATTACAACATCTTTGGGCTGTTAGAGAAGCGTGCACTTTTTATTTGAAGCCGGAGCAGTAAATTTTATAAGTAAGTTTCTTGTTTAAAACTGTGAAAGGTTTGAACCCAGGAGGCATTTCAAAAGTAGGTTGAGTTTGATCATCCGGGTGAACGTAGTCATGAATGGGACTGTTGTTGTTGACACTGACTGGCGTTTCGACAACCTGTGCTGTAGTCATCTTCAGAGTCAAAGTGAGTTGTATCACGTCAGTTGATGGTATTATACTCTGGTTATTGGTCTGATTGGTCAATTACGTTGCGATGTTATTGGTCGTCTATCAGTTAAGCCAAGGACAAAGACAAACCGGAGGACAGACAGGGAGCAGTGTACAAGATCAAAAGCTGCGACTGCCAGGCTTCTTACATTGGTGAAACCGGCAGAAACCTAAGCACGCGGCTGACCGAACCCAAACGAGCGACGAGGAATGGTGACGTCAACAATCACATTGCTGAGCACCATTTACAGACGAAACATCGAATTGACTGGGACTCTGCCACATGTATAATGTATTCTACAGACTACTATCAACGTCTTACTTTAGAAAGCTGGTTTACTAACTTAGAACAAACGCCACTGAATCGTAGCCTACAGTTACCAGCGCCGTACAACTTATTGACAAGATCAAGCAAAACTAACTACGGGAGAACGACTGGAGAACTGACAATTTGACTAACAATAGACGACTGTTGAACTGTGACAATAGACGGATCGAAACGCACCAATTACTGATTACGAGTCTTCATAGCCAATAACATCACGGCTTAACTGACAGACGACCAATAACATCGCAACGTAATTGACCAATCAGACCAATAACCAGAGTATAATACCATCAACTGACGTGATACAACTCACTTTGACTCTGAAGATGACTACTGCACAGGTTGTCGAAACGTCAGTCACTGTCAACAACAACAGTCTTATTCACCACTACGTTCATCCGTACGATCAAACTCAACCTACTTTTGTCTTGTTTAACTTATTAACTTCGCGGCAAAGTAAAAGGGAGGTCCGATTTTTTCAGTCTTTTGCTTTCATGTTCCTTTCAGTGTATTCATCGCCGACGGAGAATTTATCTTTCTAGATCGACTTTTCTCTTTTAACCCTATCCGAAAAGTTGCATTTAAGTATACAGCGCGTGTATATTAGATACGTTCAGCACCAAGCACGTGTAATTTTCAATCGACGAGAGCAATAAATAATGACAGTGTCGGGGCGCTTTGAGACATGTTTTAGACTTGGCTAGCATTTCAAAAGAAGGTGCGATTTTTTTCACTCTTCTGTTTACTAAGAAGAAGCGGTTTGATTTTATTCATCTATGTTTACTACCCTTTTCAATACATAAATAACATGTGACTTTACAGATTCTNACATCGCAACGTAATTGACCAATCAGACCAATAACCAGAGTATAATACCATCAACTGACG